AAATATAATTTTTGAAAGTTACTCTATTTTATATATACATTATAGATATTTTTTATTTTATTTTTTTGTTTGTATATTTATCTTATTTTATTTTAAATCCCTTAATAAAAATCTAACTCTATCGATGATCTCAGTTGTCACTATCACTAGTTTTTTTCCGTGTGCTTCATCCAACAAAGTAGTAATTTGATAACACCAAGATTCTTCTAATTTATTTAATTCTTTTGCATGATTTTTAAAGTTAGATATTCTTCAATTTTTAAATAAATATAAACATATTATACATATTCATATGATGAGAAAATAAATAATCTTAATTACTTTGTCTTCAAATTCAAACACAACGCATACCAATAATTAAATGTTATATATATTTGTATCAATTCTCTACCGTCTCTAGTGGTTTCTCTTTCCGTCATGAATTTGCCAATATTGGTAAATTTATTTGTTATTAAAAACATTCGAATTTTTCCATTTATAGACTACCTTTCAATTTGTGACACTTATAATTGTTCCCCATCGAATCTTTAAACTTAACATCCCCCATCCATCCTTTCTCTCGAAGAGCGGTGGATTCAGAATTTTAAAGATATTTGTTTGTGAAAAATCAAGTTAAAATGTTATTAAATATAAAAAATAGGTTTTATATATAGAGTTTAACAAGTAGATATATATGTCCTACTTAATTTTTTATGTGGTAATTTGCATCCTACGGAGTATCTTATGTGGCGTCCTACATATATCATATCACGTAAGATGTGTGTGTCTACTTGTTGAGCTTTATACAAGTTCAGTTGTCTACTTGTGCACATCCAAAATTGGAGGACATATATGTCAGTTGATAACGAACTTATAACATAAAAGAATATCATATAAAATGAGATGTAGGAAGAACTATTTATTGCAATTTTATAAGTTTTTTTACAAATAAATTTATATAGCCTACATGAAAAATACTGAGTTCAGATGAACACGCAATATCAAAAGCTACCTCCCCCTCACTCAAGTGTCGTGTATATAAAGTCCTCCTTGCAAGTAACATTCTTAAAACCATCTCACATATATCTCTCTATTGCATAGCTTATACTAACAAGCACACAATAATTAGTTAAGTTCCAAAAAACAAGGAACAATATGTCTTGTAGGGATATTGAACCACTTGTTGTTGAAAGAGTGATTGGAGAAGTAGTAGATAGGTTCAATCCAAGTGTGAAAATGAATGTGATATATAATGGAAGCAAACAAGTTTTTAATGGTCATGAACTCATGCCTCCTCTCATTGCTTCTAAACCTCGTGTGGAGATAGGTGGAGAAGACATGAGATCTGCTTACACACTTGTATGTCGTCGTTAATTTATGTGACATTTTTTTCATTTCTCGATATTCAAATTAAACTACTCCTGTCATTTCAATAATTTAAGGGTGTTAGTTTGACTGAATACATCTTCTGGTCTTAATTAGATCATGTATGATGTTGAAATTTAAAGAACTTATTTAAAATAAAGAAAGAGACACTATTTCTTAGACAGATTAAAAAGAAAAATATGACGATTAAACTGGAAAATAAGGAATATATATATAAATTTTGATTAACATTTCAAAACAATTTTTTTATCATATATATTGACAGGAGAATAATTGCAACTTACTCTGATCTCATTTTTAAATTATCTTTCTTTTTTTTCCATCCTCTAAATTGTAAATTTCTAACTATGTTGTTGTCTTTCTTTTGTTTGGAAAAGATCATGACTGACCCAGATGTTCCAGGTCCTAGTGATCCTTACTTAAGGGAACACCTCCACTGGTAAGTATATTAATTGTTGATAAAACAGCATTAAAACACTCGCTTGACAGAAGTATTGATAACACCCTTAAATTTGGCGTGAATTATTAGTTTCATCTCCAAACTATTGAAAGTCTTAAAAAAATCTTTTTATTTGACTAACTGAACTTAAATACACTCCTGATACACTCTTGATATGTCACCTGACATAGTAAGCTCAAATTCTTATAGGAACATGAATCTCTTAATAAAAAACTGAGAGAAGTGTTGAAAACATCCTGATAAGAATTTAGGGGTGTACTTCACTCATGTTACAATAACGGGAGTGTATTTTTAAGTTTAGTTAGTCAAGTAAATAAATATTTTTAAGACTATCAATAGTTCGAAGATGAAACTAACAATTTACGCGAAATTTTATAGTGTTGGTTTTGCTTTTAGCCTCAAAACTTGAATCAACCTTTTTGTTAGATAAAAAATGACCTTTTCGAAGCTAATGACACTGACAGAGTTCTAATCTGAGCACGTTTACCAAAAATACTGACCAAAGTCAAGTTTTGGCTAAAATTTAAAAGTTAAAACGCCTAACGACACAAACTGAATATGAAAGTCTCAACACTAGACGCTGATTTACCAAAAAATTTAACTTCAATTAGTAAATTTATCAACTATTCAAATATAAGTTAGTAATTAATAATTTACCAATAAATTTTATCACAGTTGGTAATAGTTACTATTTAACTAAACATTCATATGTAATATTACCAACTTAATTAATATGTTGGTAAATTTTACCAATGGATTAATGATCAGTTGGTATATTACCAACTATTTTAATGATATTAGTAATTTACTAACTACAATCTTTATTCGTCGGCAAAATTTTCAACTAATTGGATATTGGTTGACAAGTTTACCAACAAATTTATATTTGGTTGGTAAATTTAGCAACACAATCTTGCTGTTGGTAAATGTTTGGTCATTGCTAATATGTTAATAAATTATATAAACAATTTTTATGTCAATATTTTAGTTGGTAATCCATTGATAGAATGTTGCTAAATTTGGCGCCATTTTTCCCACCGTATTTACCAACTAAAATACTTAGTTAGTAAGATATTGGTTGATAATCTATTAGAATTTCGTTGTTAAGTTTTAAAATATAATTTAGTTAGAATTATGTTGGTAATTTGTTAGTTAGAATACTAACCAACTTAAGTTGTTAGTAAAATATGTTGGCAATTTGGGATTTTTTTTGTAGTATGTCGTAAGTTCTTCAAGATCATAGTACCTCCTTATTATGATTATTTTCTCTTTTTTCTGTTTCAAAGATTATTGCATTTGAAATTGGTTAGTCTATCAGACTTCATGTATGTCGTAGACTTTATCCTTTGGAAACGGTTAATAAAAGCATTTGCAACTAAAATATGAGATTAGTTTTGGATCAACTAATGCATTTGAAATTTGACTTGAATAATCTTTGGATGAGGATTACACTCTTGATAATTCTTTAACTGACCGACTTTTAAGGAAGTGAGGAAATCAAGTCGGTAAGCCAATTTTGTTTTAGGTATGACAAGTCTATTTTGCACTTGAAGTGAGCTTGAGTTTGCTTGATCATCTGTAGGATTGTCCACACGATTAAAGACTTTCTTTATTATATCAATCTTTCAGACTGACTCAATAGGGTTTGATACCTTCAAAGAATAAGGAGGAGGGAAAGGCTAATTCTGAAAAAATAATATGCCCTTTCTTCAGAATAGTCAATTAGGTTAACATCTTGCGCACGTCTAAAAAACTTTGTGCACCTTTCCTGATCGAGAAAACACAAAAGAAATTCACTGAGGACTCGAAAGAGATGGCAAAATTCCTCGCTCTAGTGAGTATTTGAAGGGGCTTCAAGATTCTTGCCCTAAAGGGTGGTTTTGATCATTTGAAATAGCGTTATTCAATTGGTCAATCCTTAGAACTCAGAATGGAGGTAGAAAGATAAATTGGCCTATCATGTGGATCAAGATACCCTTAGTCCATTACTGAATAAGAAATGATTGCAGCTTAATCCTCTCGAGACATATTTCTTAGTTGCTAATTATTTCTTGTAACGACCTTATTCGTGGTCATTTTGTACTTTTCACCTATTTTTTCCTTTCTAAAAAACTTTTTTAATCCTTCTTGTATAGCTTATATATCTAATTTGTGACTTGTAGAAATGGTGACACAATTTCCGAAGTGATTGTGTGAATTTCGGGAAAGCTAGTTCATTTTGAGAGTTTGAAATTTCAGGAGTTTGACCAAAGTCAATATTTTTATTAATGAAGTTGGATTCAAGTTTGGACGATTTCATTAGTTCCAAAAGGTGATTTATTGCTTAGTCAAATACTTTATACCGATATCTAGGCACTCAAGAGTGTTTTGGGTCATAGAAAGAAATATGAGAAATATATAGTTGACATCGATCAACATTTGATCAAGACAATCTCAAATCGATGATTTAAGGCCAATTGCGAGATCTAAGGCCAATATGCAATTGCTACATTTGAGGCTAAACTCTTGCAAGTTTTAATGAGATAAATTTTCTACTTAACCTTATTATTCTTTTTGTTTTATTTTATAATAGATAATAATATGAACTCATAATTTTAGAAATAAAGTAATAGATTTAATATTAAAAATTCTAAGCATTAAATTAATAAAGTTTGAATTTTAAGAACATGTTTGGCATTGTTGTTGAGAGGTAAAAGACACTCATTTTGAGAAAAGAAAAACTCTTTTGGAAGAATCAAGGTGTTTGATTAATTAGTAATACTGATTTTCAATGAAAACAAAAGCAATTTTTTTGTGGTCGGGAAGAAGTTAAAATTTTCTGCTTCTTAAGGAGAGTATAAGTAGAAACAAAAAATTATTTTTTTCAAGATCAAAATATCTCTATTATATATACATATTTACCAATATATCTTTTACATTTATATATTTTTTTGGTGATTTTTTGTATCTAGTGATTTAATTTGTGGAATGATTTTTAAATTTATTTTGCTTGATATTTTTAATTATATTTATATCGTCATGTTCAACCTTTCATTTGAAATAATATAAATAGTAAAAAAAATCCAAAAAGGAGAAAAAAGTGAAATAGAAATATTAGTTATAGAAAGCTCTCAAATCACCTTATCTATATCTAGCTTTATATATAGATATATAATATATATTTTTGTGGGCATTTTTTGTAGGCCTCACAAGTGGGCTTACTCCTTGTTAAACTTGGGTTGGGCTTCTTTTTTGTTGCAACTTCTAAAAGCCCATTAAATTTTGGCAACTTGATTTGTTGTAGTGAATTGTACCCAAGTGTAATGCTTATGGCAAATTTGTAATATTGGACATAACATCTCTATCTACACAAGTTAAGTTACAATAAGGTTTGTGAACACACTACTTTCTCCAGACTCCACTTGTGGATTACATTCGGTATGTTGTTGTTGTTAGTATGATTTAGTTGTTGTGAACAACTATAACACAGAACAGTTGGTTGTTATGTGTACACTATCCTCTATACCATTTTTTGTAATGTGTTACATATGATTTTGTCTTTAAGTCAGTAAAGTTGGTTCTTTGTATATGTGGTTGGGAAAAATTTATGTAGGAGATATTTATCTCAAGTTCACATTTCTATTTTTTTTGCGGGGCCATTGAATGGTAAGTGTTTGGATTGGAATCTCCCTAGTTTGATTTCATCTTCTCTATCATTTGAAAAAACTCAATATGGAGGATGAGACGGAAACTGAAAAATCTCCGATTACTACCCGTGTGATACTTCTTTCCCAAAAACAGTCTTATGGAATACGAGTAGAGATTGTTGTACATGGGATGGATTACAACTTGATTACAGAACATTGGACACAATACTTCATAACTTCACAAAAACCTGTGAATTTCCCAAAAACAGTCTTATGGAATGCGAGTAGAGATTGCTGTACACTTTCTCTCCCTGATGTCAACATCTCATCTCCGATACCTATGAATTTGTCTTCCTCCTTAAGGTACGTGGATCTTGAATATACTAATATACAAATTAGGTATTTGAATTTCACCGGCCATATTTCTTTCACAATCTCTAAATTGAAGCAGCTCACAAGTTTAGATCTTTCATCTAACTACTTTTCAGGTGAAATGCTCGACGTTTTCTCTAACCTCCAAGAGCTTACATCTTTCTGACAACATGAATTATGCGGTTCCTAAACCTTTCGCATAATTCATTAACAAGCCACCTAGCTACCACAAGTTCATTACAACAATCTAGAGTATCTTGATCTTAAATTTAACTTCTTTCAGGGTCCACTACCTTCATCCATTTGTAACATGAGCTAGCTTGAATTTCTAGATTTATCACACAACAACTTCAGTAACTCGATTACAAGTTGCTTGGGAAGTATGGCTAGTTTAAGGGTGTTGGACTTAAGAAGGAACAATTTCAGAGGGAGTCTTCCACCATTATGTGCGCAGAGCACTTCATTGAGTACCATTTTTTTGTTTGATTTTCTTGTTTTGTTTTTAAATTTTCTAGTTGTAGTTTGTATATGTTTGATAGCTACATAATTATGTGTGTGTTATTTTAGTATCAATGGTTATTCAAGTTATGTTAATCTGTTTCTGTTTCAAGTTGACAGAAGTTATCTACACAGCCATGCACTCATTAGCAGGCTCTTCAAAAATGTCAATGGGTATGTGTTGGATCTTCAAAAGTAGTGCATTTTTAAGGAACTAACACAGATGCAACATCATTATATAGAAGAGTCCGAGCAACATAGCTCATTAGTACAGCAAAAAGCAAAAAGCAGTAAGCATATTGAGTTTGGTTCATGATTGAAATCACTTGATTCAATTGTTCATCATTACTCTCCATTTATCGTAATCACTCGTAATTGATGAATCACACTTAAAACGTATGATGATGCTTCACCTACATAAGGTAGAAAAACTAAAAATGTCTACTACTTTGGTTATTTTCCATCTCTTCATGTTTGAACTGTATCATATTTGTCCTTTTCCCCTTGTAGTCTTTGTGGAAATTGGTTTAAAGACTTTGGTGGAATATTGATAAAAGTTTCCCTCGTTACCTTAATGTAAAAAGTCTTATGGAAAATTATAGAATGTACCTAACAAGTTTGAAAACAGCACAAGAGACAACTACTTGGAAATTTCTCTTAAAATTTCTCAACAGGTGGAATGATCTTCACCAAGTTATTCAAAACATATTTGAGATAATTAAAAAATTATTTGAGATAAAGGAATTGAAATAGGTAGTTGAGTCAATAATAAGTTGCTTAATATTTAAAAAATAGAAGTAGAGTGTCAAATGGGGCTACACGTGCAATGCGCGTGCTTCGAGACTTTCCCAAGTTGTGAATTTTTGATCTTTCTTGTAATGAATTCAGTGGATCACTTCCTGGAAAAGTTTTTGGAAACTTCAAGGCAATGATCAAATTAGATGGTGAAGACACAAGAGAGATCAAGTACATGAAACCATCTGAGAAGTCATTTTACATAATGTATGAGGACTCGGTGAGATTGGTGATCAAAGGCCAGGAAATCGAGCTAGAAAGAATCAACACAATTATGACAGCCATAGATATCTCAAGCAACCATTTTGAAGGTGTCATTCCGAAAACACTAAAGAATCTCAACGCTCTTTGGCTACTCAATTTATCCCGTAACAATCTCAAAGGTGATATTCCAATGGAATTAGGGCAATTGAATACGCTTGAAGCTTTAGAACTCTCTTGGAATTGGCTCACTGGAAAGATTCCACAGGAATTGACAAGAATGAACTTTCTGGCATTCTTAAACCTCTCTCAAAATCTTCTTATTGGACCAATTCCTCACGGTCAACAATTCAACACATTTGGAAATGACTCGTATGGTGGCAACCTTGATTTATGTGGTCTCCCTTTATCGAAGAAATGTGGAACAAGTGATTCATCGCATGTTCCTCAACCAATGGAATCCGAAGAAGATGAAGACGAGTCATATTTCTTAAGTGGATTTACTTGGGAATCCGTAGTCATAGGCTACAGTTTTGGACTAGTTGTTGGAACTGTCATGTGGAGTCTCATGTTTAAATATCGTAAACCAAAATGGTTTGTAGAATTTTTTGATGCAATCGTGCCTCACGAAAATAGAAGGCCAAAGAAGAAAGCTCAGAGACAACGGACTTAATGTTGGAATAATCTCATCAACATGCATTTGATATTTTGTTCTTTTACTTTGTCTGAATTTTCTCATCTGTTATTTGCTTCGACTACTGAATTGAAGTTATAAAAGCAGTTTTCTTTGCTTGTGCAGCACTTTATTTTATCTTCTTAATTTGATCAGTACACCTTTATCTTGAGTCGAGGGTCTATGAAAACAACCTCTTTAGCTACCTTCTCAAGGTACACACAATCCTCCTCATACCCTGCCTGTGTTGTTGTTGTTGTTGTTACTCTGTTTCACTGGCAATACATTTCTGTTAAGATGTATATTGAATGCCTAAAGACATAGCATCGTTCAGTGACAAATTATACCTAAAGAATAATGCGCAAACCAGTCGTTACAAACAACTCTTAACTTGACTTTAACTGATAACTATGACCTTCAACTTTTGGTATGCACAAATAGGCATTTAAAGTTATATAAAATTGAACAAATAGATACATTTGTCCTTCATGGCACCTTACATGACAATTTTGTGTCATGCGTGGTGTCCTACATGTATTATGCGATACATGTGTCTACTTGTTCAATTTTATACAACTTTAAGTGCTTATTCGTGCGCTCCCAAAGTTGGAGGGCATAGTTATCAGCTGAAGTCAAGTTAAGGATCGTGTTTATGTATTATGCCTAAATAATTTGTGGAAATTGCCTTGAAGACTTTGGTGGAATATTGATGGAGTTTCCCTCATTAACTTAATGTGAAAAATCTTGTGGGAAATTATAGAATGTACCGAGCTAACAAGTTTGAAAACAGCATAAGAGACAACTAATCACAAATTTCTAATAAAATTTCTCTGCAGGTGGAATGATGATCTTCACCAATTTAGTCAAAACATACTACATCAAAAAGGATTTTTAGCGATAATAGCTTAATTGCCATTAAATATGTATTTTTAGTGGCATTTAGTACTCTTTGTAAATGTCTTTAAAGCCTATAGCGATATTGGATCCAATGACAATTAATTAGTGCCGGTAAAGCTTTATCACTCTTTGTTATTGCCGCTAAAAGTTATTTTTGTTAAAGTGACATAGGAGTACTAATTAAGCAGAAAAACACATCAAACAAAATTTTGAACAAAAAGTAAATAAAAGAACAAAATAAAATTCAACAAATAGGGTCTAAGGAGGGTAAAGTGTGTGCACACTTTATCTCGAGGTTGCTTTCGATAGACCCTTGCCTTAAAATAAAGCGTAGCCAAGAATTCGAAAAAAGGAAAGACAAAAATAAGAATAGTATCAACAACGAAATAATAAGGAAAGAAGAGCAGTACAACATACAGACAAATGAATAATATGAAAACAAAATAAAGCGATATTTGAAGCACAAAAAACACAAGTGATACACGAAAAACAAGAAACTACAAAAATAATACACAAGAGACAAGCCAATCTCCATAAATTCTACCCGGACTCAATTTATAACAAAAATCACTATTAATTTTAATAAAGACCCTTAATTCTTGCAACTAATAGGTTTTGTTAAAAAGTACAAAAGATTATCATTGAATTTACTCCCAATTCTCTTTAATATAAAGGGTAATGCTAAATGGCCAGAAAATTTGATCAGAATTTAGCTAGAAATTTAAAAAAATTATAATATTTTTTTAATTTTAAAATAAACTGATCTTTTTTCCATTTTTTAGTTAAAAGGTATTAAAAGGTAAAATAACATAGGTAAAATGTCATTCTGGCCAAATTTTCTGGCCAAAAGGATTTTTCCTAATATAAATATTCTTTGTCCCTAATTACTTGTCCACTTTTCAGTTGATATACTTATTAAAAAAAAATAATGATTAACATAGTGAGTTTACCATTTTATCTCTATTAATTATGAAGTAGATGAATTAAAAATTTAAGATTTTCAACAAGTTCTACCTTTTTCAAAATAATTAATTGAGGATATAATAGATTAAAAAAATTGACTTTTCTTGATTTGTCAAAATAAATAAGTAAAAAAAGGAAAATTGGGCAAGTACTTGGGGACAATGAAAGTATAAACTATTGCTAAACATTTTTTTTTATACATATGACTCTTAATTGCTACAACCAAGGTTGGTTAAGAAGTCCAAGAGATTATTATTGAATTTACCATCATTAAATTACTGCTAAACGTTTTATACATACATTGTAGAAATTTAATACTCCCTTAGTACACTTTTGATTGTTATGTTGCGTTTTTCGAAAGTCAATTTGACTAATTTTCAAAGTTAAATTAGATTACATTAATTGGATATATTGAACAAAAAATTTAGATATTCAAAAAACTATACGAAAAGTATTTTAAATTGCAATTTTTTGCATATCAATATGATGAAAAAATATATCGGAAAATGTTAGTCAAAGTCCTTATAGTTTGACTCTAGAAAAGGAAACCATGATAATTAAAAGTGGATGAAGGGAGTATATAATTGAATTTATGTCTTATTATTATTTTGTCCAATTTTGACTTTTTACTTGTCCCTTTTTACTTGTCCAATTTTAATTTTTTAATTGTATAATACATGTAAAGTCAAAATGTTTTTTAATATATATATATATATATCTCGTAGTTATTAAATTTTCTTATTTTTTTTTTTTTGTATATTTATCATATTTTATTGTGAATTCCTTAGTAGAAATCTGACTCAAGCCGCTGACCTCAATTGTCACCATCACTAGTTTTTGAAGTGTGGTTCATCCAACAAGTAGTATTTTGATAACACCATACAAATTAAGATTTTTCTATTAAATTTTATTTTTGCATAATTTCTTATCATTTTTAAAGTTAGATATTCTTCATTTAAAAAAAGATAAAGATAAACATATAATACATATATTCATATGGTGAGAAAACAAATAATCTTAATCATCGTGCGTTCAAATTTACATACTAATAATCAAATGCTATATATATTTGGATTAACTCTCTACCGTCTCAAGTGGTTTCTCTTTCCGTCATGAATTGCCAGTAATGGAAAATTTATTTGTTATTAGGAACATTCGATTTTTTTCATTTATAGACAAATATTGATGAGGATTTTTAAAAGAAAATTGTACATTATAACAAATTATTAATTCAAAATAAATATTATAGTTACAGTTTCATTTAATTCTAATTCGCATCAAACTTTTTGCCATTCGCCTCTCTTCCCTCTTTCTGGAATCTCGCTCGCGACTCTCCTTTTTTTCAGTCGTCTCTCCCTCGCCTCTCTCACTTTATTCAAACACAAATGTATAATTTGTGCGAGAGAGACTGTATATACAAATACAAATACATAGCTCTCCGTCCTATACACTTATAATTATACAAATACAAATTATTTTCTGCCCAATTCTCTTTTGTCTTTCTCTCTCTCGCGCTTTATACAAACAGACATTATACAAATACAATGTATAACTCGATTCAATTGTATACGAATTCAAATTTTATGCAGATATACAAACACAATCATTGATACATACACATAGTAGTTACATTTATACAATTATCTAACCGATATACATATATAATTCACGATCTCTCCAATCTCTGCCCTCTCTCGCTCGCCTCTCGCCTCTCTCTCCCAATCTCGCTCGCCACTCTAGCCTAACACAAATAACATATACATATACATATACACACACAATTTTCATAGACATAGACGAATTAGCGCCCGATTTATACAAATCGTCGTGATTTATACAAATCAGATGCTCCATAGAAAACATAATTTGGCTATGGAGTACAAATAGCAACACTATAGCTATAGAGCGCTAATATGATTTTTATCTTTGTTATTCCTAAAATTTACTCTTTTTTATCGGTTTTGATTTATCCATTTTTTATATTTAATGGTTTGATTTTTCGGTTCAACTAATAAGAAAAAACTCATAATACAAGTATATAATTTCTCCAATAATTTGGCGCGAGAACGTACAATAATGTAACTTTACATAATACTCATAAAATAGAAACAATAGTAACTAACATGAAAAGAACTATACAAGAGTAACACAAACAAAAGAACTAGGACAATGATATGAATTGAAGGTTAAATGTCAAAGATAGTAACAGTAAGGTACTAACATTAATATTTATATAGGGGTAAATGAGTAAATTACTACAGTTTTAATGAGTTAACGGTTACTCAATGATCCCATTATTAAAAAACTAAAACCAAACCAATAATTCGATAAATTTTTTTATAAAACCCGTTAACTTAATAACATTTATAACAATAAATCAATAATATTTTTTCAATTCAACTTATTGATCAATTCAATTTTGTATACCCTAACGTATGAGTTTGTTTTTTCTATGAGGTGTACAAATAATAAATAGAGATCCACTATTCAGTATATTCGTAACCAAAAAAATAAAATTATACTCACACATATTGATAAAGAGATGAAACACTTAAATATCATTAAAATTTCAAAAGGTAAAATGACAGATATTTTTGGCACCAACCATTTGTTGTCTAAATTAGTCTGAATACTCTTTCAAATTACATAGTATAATACATCTATAATTCTTCCTTCCCTTTTTTCCTTTTTTGGTAAGAAATTAAGAATCATGTATGACTAAAATAATTTTGCCAAGTTGAGATGTGTGTCTACGTCTAGAAAATGGAATATTGAGAATAGACATATGTAGCTTTTTTTTTTCGATTATAAATGATATAGGTATTAATTTATAATTTTAAAATTAAGAATATTAAATGTTAAATCAATAAAATTTGAATTCTGAATCCACCAATTAAGAATTATTGACATGTGGGTATCAAGAATATTTGAAAAGGCTTACTTTAATTCATGTGAATATGTTATCACTATCAATAAAAAAAATTATCAACATGAGTTGTGGCGCACTAGTAGGAGTGTTTCACCTGGTGGGTAAAAAAAATAAAATATATATATATATATATATATATATATATATATTACAACTTTTGTAACTGTGGTTTCTCCAAACACTAAGAATGAAGACGTCTTAATGCTGTTTGCTGCCACTGATTTCTCCTTTCGTTAGATTCCCTATTCTCTCAACAAAAACACTTGGGAACATTAGTACTTCTCTCTTTTATTTATGTGATGACCTTTTTTTTTTTATAATAATATCAATATTTAAATTTGACCTCATCTAGTAAGTAAACACTCAATTTTGACAATACACATCTAGACATTCCAACTCATTTTCATTGTATCAATTGAACACTCTAACTTACAAAATGATTATCTAGACACCTCCGGAGTTTATGTGTTACGTCAACTTCTGGTGTGCACAAAATACGGTGGAGATGAGTTGGAGTGTTTATTGTCAGTTGAGACTAGACATGCATGTATTTTGATTGGTTCGATTTGATTTTGAAGTTTATCGATTCTCGATTCAAGTTTCATTGACTTAACATTTAATCATATCTCGATTTTGGGCTTTGCCGCAATCATAATTATAATAACCTATTTGGTCAAGCTTTTGGGAGGTCAAACGTGTGTTTTTTTTCACAAAAAAATAAATAATATGGTGCTTGACCAAGTCTTTAGGAGAAAATAAGTAGTCTTGGCGAGTAGCAAAAACTATATTTCAAAAGCTAAAAGAAGTATAGCAAAACCTCACTAAATTAATATAGCTAGGATCATGAAATATTATTATTATTATTATTATATAGAGGTGTTATTTAATCGATAAATTAATGTTTATTAATTTAAAGAGTGTTTGAGATTCAACATTGTGATGCTAGGATAATAAGAGCTTCCAAGATGTATTATCGCAACAGATTTTATCGTAGGATATTAGAAGACTATGAAGTGGGACAAACTGATCCAGGAAAGAGTAATGTTTTGGATGCTTTCAATTTTGCAATGCCGGCTTGGACGACATATATAATGTTTAGCAAGAGACAATAGCAAATTGTTTTTGATACTACAACAAAATTTGTTTGAAGGATGAAATCTCAGAGAATTTGAATGAACCCACTTGTGAAAACATCATTCATGAATTTGAGGTCATGATTAATGATCTCGATTACCGCAATAAAATGGACGTCAATAACCTATTGAGTTACCCAGGAGAAAATGGTACATGCAGAGGTCCAGAGCTTAGAAGAAATTGTGAATCCCATAAAAAATAATGTTGAAGATGATACAATACCTTTGGAACCAGTTACATGTAAGGAAATACTTATTGCATCTATAAATCTTCACAATTTTATGGTGCAGTTCAAAAAAACAACATCAAAACTTTTGGATCCAAAAAGAAAAGTTAGAGATGAACTTCAACTAGATTTAAAATTTAACAAAAATCAAAACACAATATAATCACATTTCACTAAATTGTCTTAGATATATTTGTACCTTTAAATAATTATTAATTTATAATATTAATAAGACCATATATTTATATAGGGGTCTTCTGAAAATATATTATCTTATTATCTTATCGAAAATAGATGATTTTTTCCATTGGCTCAAGCCGGAACCAGAGGAAAATATTATCTTAGAGAGATTTAATTTACCAAGTATTAATTTAGTGAGGTTTTACTGTAGTTTTTTTCCAAAAACACTTTTTTGAAAAGCACTTTATAAAATGTACACTTTGAAAAACATGCTCAAAAGTATTATTTTAAAAAAATATATATTTATTGATTAAACACACACAAAGTGTTCTTCACCAAAAAACATTACTTAAAAAATATTTTTCAAAATAAGTTGATTCCAGAAGTTTGATCAAATAGGCTAAATCAGTCTAGAAAATTTCAAATGGCTACCAAATTAACAAAACAAAAAAGTGATGTCAAATCAAGCATTCTAATTAAACAGTACCAAAACTATGTTTCATGTTTCATTAGAGTAGGCAAAGTCTAATAGCTAGCAAATGTGGCCAAGAATTTGTATAAGATGTCTTGTCATTACCAAATTTAACAAAGCATCCATGCAAAGGTAACATAAAAATTGTATTTTTTGCTTCCATGATAAGATTAATTCTCCATTTCTCATTTCTACACAACACAACTAAGAACCTCAAAACTCCAAAAGTTGAATTCCCATTTGTCTAAAATATTGTTTTCAAATTCAAAAAGTAGTATTCCTCATTCTATTAAGTCAATGGACTAAAGGCATCAGAAGTATTATGCATGCATTGAGTTTTTAAGGTAATAAATAATTGGGCAAATTAAAGAAATCACATACTTTTAAGGCAAAATTACAATTTATCCCTTAAAAGTTTATAAATTTACAGAAAATCCCTCAAAACGGATACAATAATATAAGCGCTGATACATTAATCTGATGCGCGAGATCCATTAATTGTTAAGTAAGATTACATTACATTTTTATACATGATACACTAATCTGATGCGCGAAAATGAGGGATTTTGGAGATTTGTAAAACTTATAGGGGATAATGGTAATAAGTAAACTAAAAGGCGGGATTTCTGTAATTTTTCCTAAATAATACACCTTCCGTCCCTTTTTTACTTATCACAATTCACTTTATGAGAATTAATTTGTTTAAATTTTGGAGTTAAAATTGAATTAGCATAATTTGATATTTAAAATTTAGATATACAAAAATTATAATATGAAAAATACTATAAATTGCAATCATCTTCATATTGATTTAATGAAAAAATACTTCTTAAAATACAGGTGAAAATTCAAGTAGTTTGACTCTAAAAAAAAAAATGTGACAAATAAAAAAAAATGGAGAAAATACAATATAAGTATGAAAAAATTTGGGCTTCGAAAAATCCAAATTGAATATGTCAAAGCAATAAGTTTGATAAAAACAGAAAAAGACGAGGAAATTTCAAAAACAGCTAAGACTAGACACATAATCAAGAAACATAATTAGACTTCTTAGCTATAATTTTCTTAATTACGAGTCGTAGCTACATGTTAGAAGGAGAAGAGGGGTGAGCGAGATTGGGAGAGGGGGGAGAAAAACGAGCGAGATAGAGAGTGCTATAGTTGTTTTGTATATCTGATCAATAATTGTATCACAAATACAATTTATTTAATTGTTTTATATCAAAAACTACTACTATAAAGAGGAGAGAGGCAAGCGAGATTGAGAGAGGATGGAGAGATACGAGCGAGATTTGGGAGAGAGATACAATTGATTTGTATATCTGATTGATAATTGTATCTCTTGATAATTGTAACACGAATACAATTGATTGTATCAAAGACTATTACATTCAATTCGATGATGCAAATCAATTGTATCAAGTATATTAACAAATACAATTTGTATCGTTATTGTAATTCCTAACAAATTACGGTTGTATTCATTTGTTGCCTTGAATATTGTACTTATGTGTTACGATGTGTGTATTATCATTTATATTTGTATGATGAACTATATCATTGACTGTTACCATTTGTATTTGTATTGAAGAGAGAGGGGGCAAAGAGAGAAGAGAGGCGAGCGAAAACATAGATAGAGGTGAGGGAGGGAGAGATAAGAGATAAGAGATAAATTTGCTATAAAATCTTAATTATAGCTACATATCGAAATTCTTTTAAATTATATTTATGTATAGTAAATACATATCACATATTTATCTAAACATATTTTTTTAGTAGCTTGATCACCCTAATGAATTTACCACCGTAAAACTCTGCAATTCTCAATCTCACAGCCGACGGCCACTGCGTTCATTCAAATTCTCTTCACCGAAAAGTTAGATTATATATATAAAACAAAATTATATTTTATATATACATTATAGATATTAATTTATTTATTTTTTGTTGGTATATTTATTTTATTTTATTTTAAATTCCTTAATAAAAATCTGACTCCACCGATGACCTCAATTGTCACTATCACTAGTTTTTTTTCCGTGTGCTTCATCCAACAAAGTAGTAATTTGATGACACCAAGATTCTGCTAATTTATTTATTTATTTTTGCATGATTTTTAAAGTTAGATATTCTTCATTTTTTAAATTAATATAAACATATTATACATATTCATATGATGAGGAAATAAATAATCTTAATTACTTTGTCTTCAAATTCAAACACAACGCATACCAATAATTAAATGTTATATATATTTGTATTAACTCTCTACCGTCTCTAGTGGTTTCTATTTCCGTCATGAATAGCCAATATTGGTATATTTATTTGTTATTAAAAAGTAAAAACATTCGAATTTTTCCATTTATAGCCAACCTTTCAATTTGTGACACTTTTAATTGTTCCCCACCGAATCTTTAAACTTAACATCCCCCACCCTTCCTTTCGCAGAGCGGTGGATTCAGAATTTTAAAGATATTTATTTGTGAAAAATCAAGTTAAAATGTTATTAACTATAAAAAGTAGGTTTTATATATAGAGTTTAACAAGTAGATATATATGTCCTACTTAATTTATTTTTTTCTACAGAGCATCTTATATATGTGGCGTCCTATATGTATTATGTCACGTAAGATGTGTGTGTCTACTTGTTCAACTTTATACAAATTTAATTGTCTACTTGTGCACATTCAAAATTATTGGAGGACATTGATGTCAATTGATATCAAGTTAAAAGGTACTATATTTATATATTATGCCTAGAAAAATATCATAATCTTTGAACCAACTTATAAGAAGAAAAGAATATCATATAAAATGGGATGCATGAAGAACTATTTATTGCAATCTTATTAGATTTCTACAAATATATTTATATAGTCAACATGAAAAATACTGAATTTAGATGAACACACAATATCAAAAGCTACCTCCCCCTCACTCAAGTGTCGTGTATATAAGTCCTCCTTGCAAGTAACATTCTTCAAACCAACTACCATATCTCTCTCTATTGCATAGCTTATACTAAAAAGCAAACAATATTTAGTTAAGTTACCAAAAAAAGAAGGATTAATATGTCTTGTAGAGATATTGAACCACTTGTTGTTGCAAGAGTGATAGGAGAAGTTGTAGATAGTTTCAACCCAAGTGTGAAAATGAATGTGATATATAATGGAAGCAAACAAGTGTTTAATGGTCATGAACTCATGCCTCTTGTCATTGCTTCTAAGCCTCGTGTGGAGATAGGTGGTGAAGACATGAGATCTGCTTACACACTCGTATGTCATCTCTATACTTAATTTATGTGACATTTTTCACTTCTCGAGATTCAAATTCAACTACTCCTCTCATTTCAATAATTTAAGCGTCATAGTTTGACTGGACACATCTAGTGGTCTTAATTAAACTTTTCATGTATGACGATGTTGAAATTTAAAGAACTTATTTAAAATAGAGAAAGAGACACTCTTTCTCAGACAGATTAAAAAGAAAAGTAAGACAACTAAATTGGAACATAAGAAATGTATAAATTTTGATTAACATTTTGAAACATTTTTTTTAATCATATATATTGATAGGAGAAGAATTGCAACTCTGATCTCATTTTTAAATTATCTTCTTTTTTTTCCATCCTCTAAATTGTAAATTTCTAACTATGTTATTTTCTTTCTTTTGTTTGAAAAAGATCATGACTGACCCAGATGTTCCAGGTCCTAGTGATCCTTACTTAAGGGAACACCTCCACTGGTAAGTATATTAATTGTTGATAAAAAAGCATTAAAATGCTTGACAGAAGTATTGATAACACTCTTAAATTTGGCGTGAATTATCAGTTTCATTTTCAAACTATTGAAAGTCTTAAAAACGTCTTTTTACTTGATTAATTGTACTTAAATACACCATCGATCTGCCACATGACATAACAAGTAGTCTCAAATTCTTGTAGGAGCATGAAACTCTTAATAAAAAATCGAGAGAAAGTGTTGAAAATATCCCTAAACTTGACGTGAATTTAGGGGTGTACTCCACTCATGTTGTAAGAATGGGAGTGTATTTTAGTTCAGTTAATCAAGTTGTTAGTTCGGAGATGAAACTAACAATTTATGCCAAATTTTATAGTGTTTCCACAACTTCTCACAAAGGCTAGTCATATTTGCATGGACTTTAAATTTGGGTTTTGCTTTTTCAGGATTGTGACAGATATTCCTGGTTCAACTGATGCTTCTTTTGGTAAGCAAATCAACTTGACTCATTCGTTATTATTTTATTCACTTAATTATATCTTCAACAAATGATCTAACACGTAGTAATACATCAATTTTTTACAGGAAGAGAGATAGTGAGCTACGATAGTCCAAAACCAGTGATCGGAATTCATCGATACGTGTTCGTATTATATAAGCAAAACAGAGGAAGACAAACAGTGAAACCACCAGTAACAAGAGATCATTTCAACACTCGAAAATTTGCAGCAGAAAATGGATTGGGTTCCCCTGTTGCTGCTGTTTACTTTAATGCCCAAAGAGAAACTGCTGCTAGAAGAAGATGAACGTACGTCCAACTTCATCAACATCAACAAATAAATAATAAAATTATGCAAATTGAATAAGGTGTATCTGCACTATGCAAAGTGACCCCGTGTAATATCAGTAATGTACGCAGATTTTTTCGTAAGCAATGTCAGACTCTCTTAGGGTCCTACTATATATATGCGTATAAGTAGCTTCTCTCATCTATTACTTGTTGTAAAATATTATTTTCCGTGTCCCTAATTTATATGGCATAGTTAAAATTTCCAGATTCAAATTTTTTAAATTTTGATACTGAATTTTGATATAAAAACTTTAAACTTTTTAAAATAAATTTTATATATTTGAAAACTACATGAAAAATTACTATAATTAACAACTTAAAATATTTAAAAGACGTATAAAGAAATTTCGGTCAAAGAAAATTTGATTAATGCTCAAAATTTCAAATGTGTCAGATAAATTGAAACCGACATATGGCAAAAAAATTCCTCTTTCAATTTCGTAAAGCATATAGCAAAAGTTGTCCAACGAACTCGTACAATTTCGGGGAGTTTTTATTGGTGGATTCGAACTGCCTCTTTTAAAAATTGAGTTTAAGTTATATTCATCGTTATCATACGTTAAGCTACTTTATAACGGTAGTGTGTCAATCTTCCAATATTAGTCAGTCAGAAACCCATCGTACTTAGCTTAATATTTGATCTTGAAATAATTAATAGGAAATTAACCAAGTCACATAATTTGTTTATTGATAATCATATGATAGTACAACCAAAAAAAAAAAGGATAGAAGAGACAACGTTAATTTATTGTTACGATATTATTTAATTTGCTCATGTAGCAGATGTAAACTTGCTGGCCACTGATCTCAAACTCAATTTGCTGCAACAAAAAATAAAAGCCAGTGAGTAAATCGTAATGTAATAAATTTGAATCAGATATATCAAATTTGCTCTTTCAAGCAAATTTAGTAGCTTAAAATTAAATTTTAATAAGAGGCCTTAAATTTATTCATACTAACCGGAACAAGAGAGTGGAGGGAGGTTGCACTGAGCTGGAATTTGAGCTGCAATACGCATAGTGTTGCACATACAGTCATGATTAATTGACTGTACTGCATTGCAACACTCTGTACTTGCACTAGGTGAGCCTGGCACCAGGAATGGTGCGCAGACGTTCAGGCCTGTAAGTGACGCGGTGCATGACTGCTGTGGCTGACACTCGATCACCCGGCTTTGCAGCACAATCACAAGCAAGCTCAACAACAACAATGAAACAACTGATGATGATGACTTCACAGCTGCCATGGTCGATATTCGAATATATATAAGTTGTTATATAACTTATAAATGATTGTCGAAAGAAAATGAAAGTAGATGAATTGGTTTAAGTTGAGCCAAAAGGGAGAAATATATATAGAGCTGAGAAAAAAAGGTGTTTATAAGATGAGGCCCTTTGTGTGAATGACCTAATTGAAGATATTGACAATCAGCTTTCTTGCATTTTTTTTTCCACACTTTGTAATTGAACCCTAATATATTATATGGAATTTTCGCAAATAGTCACTATAATAAACTTAATTATGCTCCATAGCTATATTTTGCATATTTACGGGTTGTAGCTAGAGTTTAAGCTGCCTTTTTTTTTGTATAATTTGCGGATACGTTTGTATAATTGAGCTATTTTTGTATAAACTTGAAATAACGAATTTATACAAACACAAATATCTTAACATTAAATAGTTATACAAATTATATTATACAAAATTAATACAAATTATATTATACAAATTCTGAATTATACAAATGTGTGAATTATACAAACTCGAAACCCCAACCCACATAATTATCACTGAATGTTGGTTGCGAGTGGTAATTAACTAAAAATATAGCTATAATGACTAGTTAACTAGTATATGTTTGTTTAACCATGTAATTTTTCCTATATTATACCATCGTATGGGGAGTTAAATTAATTTCCTTCTTTAACCGGAATTCATTTTGTGGCTCACATGACATAAGTTGTTTGAGACATATTGCTTGATATATTATAAGTGGACTTGTGGATATATATTACCTGTTATTCTTAATAATAATAATTAAAAAGAAAATGAAGTGCAAAATTTATTGATTGACTCTTGATCTAAGAACTTTATATTGAAATAATTTCAAATAAATAAGTAAAAAGAGTTCAAAAGGCACTTTCAAGACATAAAATAAAATCCATTAGTCATATCAAGACAAATAGAATTTGTTTACAAAAGCTTTGACAAACTACTATACAAAATTTAGTCACAAGAGTAAAATGCCTACATCAAAATTCCTTCAATTTTACACTTCACTCCAAAAACAAAAAAAAAAAAACAAAAAGAAAAGGAGTTGGTGGGAAGGACATCAACGAGAGTTGGAGAGACATTGCTCCAACACAAAAAAAAAAAGGCGTTGGTGGGAAGGGCATGTAGAAATCAAAATTGAATTATAGGAAAGAAAAAAAAAAAACAAAAAAAGAAGAAAGAAAGATGAACAAGACCATTAGTTTAGAGGAATTTAAACAAAGAAAACAAAATTGTTAATTTCACAAAATTAGATCCTTCTCAGACCGCAGTCGTGGAATTATACTGAATATGTTGTTGTTGTTGTTGACGTCGTTACAAAATTAGATCCTTGGGCTTGTGGTGGTGTTTGCTGGTGCAGTCCAATATGTCTTCACTGCAAATAGAAGTTTTTCTCTTTCCATTGGGCCATCTTCATGATCCACAATTAAACTCTCCCAATTTAGCCCATCTACAATCCTCTTTACTTCAACCAATATATCTACATCCTCACGTATTATTATACTTCCTTCTGGCCTTAATATTCTATCCATTTCTAGTAATATGTCTTCCATGTCACATCTACATATCAAAATTGACAAGTATATCATGAAAAAGGTCAATCATATAGCGGAATCATCGGAATCAGGATTTTTAGTAAGAGGATTCAATACTTATTAGAAAATATTACGCAAAAGTATGTGTGTTGGCGTAGTAGTAGTTTAGCCTATGTTTGTCTATAAGCGTCTTTTATATATTATTATACTTTTTTTTTATAGAGTTGACCTATTATGTATAATGTTTTCCTCTAGGTATAATGTTACATAATATTATATGGTGTATTGGACTATCTGACATATAATATTTTGTGTTGGACGATATATTTTTTCAAAATTTTCCGAAAAAATATGTGCAGGGAAATAAAAGTAAAAGAACAAGGCCGTCATGGGAAATAAGATACTTCCTCTATTCTAATTTTTGTGAAGGGGTTCAGAGTACGATGGTCAAAAGACTTAATTTTAATTATGAAGTTTTGTATAAATTTTTCAAATATCTTATAAGAAAACTTTATGGGTTATTTTATATTTGACTTATAGAGTTAAAATATTTAAGAAAATTTGAAAAAATATGTTTGACTCTCAAAATAGCACATCTTCGTATAAATAGGAACGAAGAGAGTATAGAATTTAAAATGATGATAGAATTTACCTCTCTTTGTACATAGTAAATATTGAATCAGCATGAAGAAGATCATACGTTCTTGGGTAAGTTGACATAGCTTCACACCTGCAACAAAATTCATGGTAAATACATGACCATGGAATATTTTCATCTAAAAGTTTATAGTTGTCAGTTGTCACTTCATTGAATAGGTACCGAAAATTATATTTTTGATAATAATGATGATTATGGATGCAAACTTGTCAAAGTTGAGTGACTTTTGAAAGATAAAATAAAGTTGACGGACTATGATGGTCAATTACCCAAAGTTGAGTGACCATCAAAACTTCTAACTCTTGAATTAAGTGACCATCTTATTTAATATTTAAATGGTAGTAAAACTAATCACTTGGAACATAGGGGTATTCAATCCCCCAACTTCTAGACCTTAAGAACCGACATTTGATGTGCTCCTTAGCTATATAGTGAGTAGCAACAAAGGGTATATCCAAAGTTTAGAATTTTCACTTCCACATCACCGCTCATCGAAACTATCGTCTATCAATTGAAATTTCCCTTTTCCAGAGGAGGAACCGGCCCCTCTGGAACATCCTCAAGAGAGTAGAAAAGAGAAGGAACATGAGTTTCTCGCCTTCAAAGAGTATAAAGAAGTAGAGTGTCACCCTAACAAATTAGGCACACACATCAAGGCATTCAGCCAACGAGCGAAAGCGATCGCTCAAGAAAGGGAATTCAGCCCCGAAAAATACAATGCAGTGAAAGACATTGTGGACTATGTGGTCGGTGACATAAATGATATACCATCGGCTAGCCAACTCCACTTCCTAACAAGGTTAATGTCTGACCTAGAAAACGAAAACAACAAGACCTAGGGTCTCACTGAATGAGAAGTTCGAAGAGTTCGCCACAAAATCATAAAGGTTTGAGGACACATGACACAGAGCACACTTTTAGTTACTTAAATATGAGCGTGGGGAGGGGGGGGGGGAGTAATTAAAAATAAGAA